CTTAAATGATTTTAGCATATGGCTGCAATATAACAAAGAGTTAAAAATTTAAGGGGGTCTGAATACTTTCCGTACCCACTGTATATTTAGAAAATCACATTCAAAACATTCATATTCAATTTGAATGTTACAGGTGAGCAGGTGATGAGGTTAAAATTGCCACTAGTTGCCCCAAACTACAAATACTGGAAACAAATGTGAGAGAAGAGGGGGGAGGACGGACGGAGGGGGTGAAATAGGGACCGGTGTTCACTGGGTGGGCAGGCAACCCCGTTCTTCCTCCTTTTACTCTCTCCCTCTCTTTTTCTCTCTCATACACACTTTCTCTGACAGATTAAGCAGCTACTCGGTGGGGAATGCAAGGAATTTTTCAGTTAGCACAGGAAAAAAACATCTTTTTCCCCACTTTTTGTCTTCCATTAATGCTGTGCTAAGTATCAGAAATGTCACTTACTAGTATTATTGTCAACGGTTCTGTCCTAAAGCTTTCCAATTGCTACCATTCACCACAAATTATTTAATGGACTATATCATCTTGTGAATAATATTTGCTTCATCTAACCCAAGAACAGAGCTGAAGGCAACCATCAGCATAAACATTAACATCTTCCAGCCTTCAGTCATTAAACCCACAAAACAAAACTGCTTGTCTCCAACCAATTGGATGAAGAATAATCCAAATTCTTATGTTTAACAGTTGTGAGAAAACTGGCATGTTTGCTGGATAAAAACAGATGGTTGATGTCTCTTAATACCTACCAGTTCTAGGGGGGAAAAACAGAATGGTTCCCCATAAATAAGATCCAGATGTGCACCCCACCCAAAAAACCAGTAAATTTAAGTTGACAGGCCTGATAACGAAAAATAGAAAGATGGAAGGAGAGGGGGGGCAGTGAGGGCGAGGGCGAGGGCAAGAAAGACAGGATACAAGTTTGATATCCGAGAATGGAATGATAGAGGGATGAACTTATAAAGAAAACTGAGGAGAAAATATGAAACGAGGATGTTGTCATGACATCCAAATGACGTCCCAGGTCATTTCAAATGAAAACAGAGCTCTTAGGCTCAGCCTTTTATTGTTTGTGATGTGGGGTTATATAAATACATTGACTTGAAGTAACAGACATTCAAAAAAAATATTTAACATATAAATTAATCAACCAACCACTGAATCAGTTAAGTTTAACTTGCTGTGAACTGGTTGTGTAAACTTCCCTGTTCTTTATATTTTTTCTTGCTCCAGCTGTGTTCAACAAGCAACAGTGAAATGATTGTCAGTCCAGCTTCGATACAGACTGGTCTTTTGAGAGATTAAGGCTGAGAGAGAAGCGTGTGTGTATGCGTGTACGCATACGCATGTTCATATGTATGTGTGTGTGCTAGTTTATGTGTGAGAGAGTGTGTTTTCCACCATTTCAATGCCTGGGTTGTCAGCACAGTAATAATCTAAAGTGAACACAAACAGAGGTCTGAGTGTGTGAGTGCCCATTAAACATGGCTTGAATTACAGTAAATCATACAATCAATGCACAGCTTTTCCTTTTCTTACCATGTTTTTAATATATTACACATTATGCTGTGTAAAGTGTTATAAACTATTTTTAAAACCACTGATAAGCAAGAAAGTAACTCTGATGAAACACAAAAGCTGAACATTTTTAGGACTAATTAATCTCAAATTTTCTCATTGTTTTTTCCTTCAATGCGATTTGTCTGGACTCACATGTGTGGGTTAATAATTAAACACTTTCAGTGTAAGAAAGACCAAAGTCCATCTGATTACTAAACAGTGAGACCAGAATGAACTTGGCTGCACACCCACAACACATATACACATTCTTTACAAACAGTGGATACACTTTCCAAGATAGTTAAGATCACATGACACACTGTGCAAAAGGCATTAAAACTGGTTTGTAAAATCATATAGAGAAACATATATAACAGGCATGTGTCAGTGTACAGTAAATGAACAATTGCCATCAGTCTGTCTTACACCTCGATGCACTTTTGGAGCTCATTTTCCAAAATCATTACATCATCAACCTGCTTTTAATCTATTCTTTTGACTCTATCCATTCTATTTATCTTCTTGTAGCACTTGAACTGAACCTTGACACAAAATCTAAACAAAAAAATAAATAAATAAAAATAACTTGGTAGCATCAAAAATAATTTGAATATTGTACATAAGGAAATAATGTCACAGCTGTTCTAGAAGTTGCTGGACAGTCTACAAGCACAGGGATTGTGTTTATAGTGTGCATTTGAACACAGATGCACAAATAGACACAACTAGAGGAAATTTGTCATATTTATAGAGAAAAGCATTAGACAGCGCTGACATACAGCCCTAGAATACTACATCTCATCCACTGGTTTACAAAACAGGGTTACTGGTAAAAGAGTGAAGAGCATCGCTTCTGCATGACACAGATATTAAGAAGTGAACACAAAGAGAAAGCCCCTATTCAGGTAGGGGCAAATCACATTCAGAGAGAAACAGAGCGGCAGAGAGTACCTGCACGTAGCCAAAGCATGTTGATGTCCTTGAGATGAAAGCACCTGAAACAGATTTTTTGACTTTCTTCTGCAGAAACGAGAGTCGCAGATCAGGCTAACAAGTGTGTGTGTATGTGTGTATGTGCACACATGCAGAGGCCTACATATGTGCAAAAGCATATTGTGTATGTGTACGAGTGAATGTGAGAAAGGCTTGGAGAGTGTTATAATGAGGATTATTCCCCAGTCATGAGAAAGAGCTGTACCAGGCGACCACACACAGCCCTTGTCGCACACAAGCACTGGTCACACCAGTGGACCTGGCTCAGGAGATTACGGCAGTGACAAGGCTGGGACCTGGACACGAAGCACGGCTGGGAAAAAAAAAAATGAAACACTGCAAATGTGAGGTTGCGTTTGAGGGTAAACCCTAGACAGAGTTATGGAGACAGCAAGAAGAAGAAGACACAGAGGAAGAAATAGAAGAGGAAGGTACAGAGGAAGAATGGGCAGGTTCAACCATAAACACCATTCACTGGCTGAGGATTAATCAGCTGGCAGTCAGCACTGATGGGAGTGAGGCACAATGCTGAAAAAGAAAACCTACTCGTAAGCACCATAAGCCTCGCTGCTCAAAAACAATACATTCCTCTAACTGCAATTCACTGCTAAAGCCATAAATCAGAGAGACCATCCAAAGTTCAGTCTTTTTCAGGCAGCTTTTCAAGAAGGCCAGTGGCCTTCCTATGATTCACAACTACTGTGGGAGTACAGTGGGACTTAATGGAAATTTTGATATAGTACCATAAGGGTTATTCATCTTTTAAAGGCTGATTAATCAATAAATCTACCTTCAGACTCAGATGGTTACAAGATTAAAAGTTTTATTTGGGGCAGATACAGAAATAATAGTATCTGGCACCTATAGAAGTTCGTTTCCAAACTGAAGGACTGTTAGCCACATTGTTGGAATGAAATATTGTGTTTATAGTGTGCTGTGAAATTCTGTACAGACATTTGGTGTCCCCAGTGGATAAATCCTACTGGCTTTGACAATCCCCTTACTTTTCATGTAACGCCAACGTCTACTGACAGGCTTGGTATAAAATGTTCTACAAATATTCCTGGTTCTCAAACGACCAATCCAATCATCACTTGAAATTTTGTACAGACATTTAAGTCCCACTCAGGATGAACTGTAAACACTTTGGTGATCCCCTGACATGTCGCACGACTAGCAGGTCAAATTGTCGCTGATACAAATACCAGCAATACTGACATCACCCACAGCTGTGCTTTGGTTTGTGCTAAATTTGCTAACACGCTAAACTAAGATGGTAAACATAGTAAACATCATAGCTGCTAAACACCGGTACATGTATTTTAGCACTGTCATATGAGCATGTTAGTATGATGGCTGAAACAATCAATCAATTGATAGATTGATAGAAAATGAACCTTATTAATTCTTACACTCCTTTTTGTAATGAAACTGACAAATATACACCAGCTTCTCAGTTGTGAGGATATGTTGGTATCTTTGTCTTGCATTGACTGGATATCTTTGTGTTATGCACTATATGCATCAAATCTCATGAGAAAACGTGAACCTTTTTATGACAGAATAAAACAGTATAACAGCAATAAACTTGATCATTCTTTGTATGTGGAGAACTGTCTAAGTGAATCAGAGAGAAGAAGGTCAAGTTTCAAGGAGGTCAGTGGTTTAACTGGGTTTCTCTCAACAGGCCAGTGCTTCTCCACCCTGAGCCTGCACTATCTCACCTCCTCACCCTGTCTGCTCACTGTCACTCTAATGGAGCCTGAGAGAGCGAGAGCCTGGGGAAGGTCAAACACCCGCAGAGAAACACCAGTCTCACCTCAGTGTGTCTTAACAGACGCTGAGGCTATGCCAGGAATGTACACTATGCATTAGTGTGAATGTATACATATTTCACTAATCCTATTAAAACACAGTTAACTGCTGCCAAAATCCATTATGGCAGAATGTGTGTTTCTGAGCATGTGTGTGTGTCTTTAGGGTAGTGGGCTTATGTTCAACTATATAAAATCAAAGGCTTATTAGTTTCTATCAAATTTAATTTCAAGTTTGACTGCCTAAAGACCTGAATCTATAAATATATAACTAAGCAACTGATAACACTAGTGCTACTTAAGAAAGAGAGAAAAATGTTTAATAGGAAAGTAAGCATCTAAGGCTGCACCTACTATATAATCCTCATGGGCAAGCTGACATTTTAGTCCAAGCAAGAGTGGTTGAAATAAAGCCAAAGTAAGAACACTTCTCCTACTCCCAAAGCAAGAATGTAAACACATAAAATTCCAGTCAAAATGGCAAGGAACCTCTGACAGTCACAAATGGCTGTGTATATATAAGCCAACACTATGTGTATACTATAATAAAGTGTTATGACTCTGCAGATAACTCATTTAAACCACAGTATGTGTTTTTATGTTGGCTATACAAGACTATTTGACACTGTGTTTTTTTAAAAACACACTCAGATTTGTAACAAGCTGTAAATCGCAGCACAGTGAAAACTTCTTAAACAGATGTGACAAAATGCCATTGTTTTCCCTGTGATGTGTGGAATAATAATACATGTATATTATAAGTCATGAATGGTCTAAAATTCAGTCAAGCCCTTTTGTCTGCAAGTCAACAAAGATGAGGATAAACAGAGATTACTACTTTTCTTATTTGAGTTTGGTTTTGTTTCTGGTATCTGTCTTCTGCTGACCAACACTACATCACATTGCTCATGTCTGTCTCTAACACAGCCATTGTGCCACAGTACCCTTGCAAAACACCCCATTTATCTTGACTTGAATTCCTACACCCTTCCAATCCTCAACCCCACCCTCATCCACCTCGTTTTTCTTAGGATTCCATATTTTAACTTGATCTGTTACCCATCATCAGCACTTTAGTTCAACGTACCCGTTAACCCTATATGTCTTTTTTAGTTTTTAAGGTGAACACCCAAAAGGAAACCTGAGGTGCAGATTATATTTGGGAACCTTTCAAATAAAAGCAACAAGTCTTTTGTTAATCACCTGCCACACGCGTTGCATCATTACATTATATTGACGTTATATTGTACAATACACCAAATAAAAAGAACTGGCGAGAGCTGACACTTAAATAGGATTCATTCTGATTTTGCTTCACTAAAACTATTTTGAGGTCAAACTATAACAAATAAAAAGTTACAAAAATCCCCGTTTTAACAACAGGTTTTGAAAGCAGACTAACCTATGTCAACACACAGGTTATAAGGACGCAACACTCAGAAATTCTTACCTTCAAAAAACCTCTGTAATGCCTCTGTTTCGTCTACCACCTCCATCCTAGCGGGTCCCACATAAAAAATCCATCAAAGTCTCCCCCTTGTCCGAACAAAATCAATTCGGATCGGGGAAACTTTCACATATACATCACGGAATCCAGATTATATTTGCTGTGACTTCTTGTTTTATTTCACATAAATCCAACGCTTCATGCGGACAGCTCTCTCCTGTTCAGCAGCTTGGCACTGGATTTACGTCCTTATGGACAAACGCCTCCAATTACGCTGGTATGGAATATTACTTTAAAACTATACACTTAAGTAGCCTAGTTTTTTTTATTTATTAAGGTGTCAACAAATATCCATAAAAGAACAACGGCAAAAAAAATATTCCCCTTACGCGCACCTTCACTTCAGTTCCCACAAGCCACATAAGAAACTTTGATGAACTTTTTCAAAAAGTGTAACCACCCCGTGAAAAAAATAGTGAAGATCGACGGAAAGTTTTGAGATCCGATTTGAAAAAAACCGTGTTATAGACTGCGTAAAAGTTGTTTAAACTTGGCACCCGAGTCCCTCAGGTTGATTCTCTTCCTCCTTTGCCTCTCTCTCCCAGACAGGATGTGTGGAGCAGAGTCGGAGGAGAGCAGCCGAGGCAGGTGAGGGATGTGCGCCAGGCTGCTGCAAATATCCCCGAACAAATAAATAAATAATGTAAGGACACGTGTATCTGTGGCACTCCGCAGTCAGGCTAATTGGTTTGCAATTATTATGTCTTACACTTTAATTTTTAACAACCTTCTTTACCTCCTGTGAAGATCAGCAACAATTAGGTGACCGATCAGTTTGTACGCAAATCAATTTGGTTCCAGTTTCTCAAATATGAGGACATGCTGCTTTTCTTTGTTATACATGTTAGCACATGAAATATCTTTGGGTTTTGCGCTGTTGGCCGACTAACAATCTGAATATATCACTTTAGGCTCTGAGAAGATTTTCAGTCTGATTAATGGCCCAGTGAAGTGAAAAATAACTGACAAAACTGATGAAAATAATCCTCAGTTTCAAACAGTCTGTATTCTACTATGAGACACATGCTTTGATATTTGAATTAAATATATTTTCCTGAAAAATGTATTAGCCTGGATATCATTCCCCTGAACAAAACGTTTTTAAAACATGAAATATGGGCTCTAAAACTTTAAAATACTTAATGGGGACAAAATTAAATCTAAAATAAATATTTTCCCTCTCCCTGATCTACAAAAATATTTCTGAAACGTTGTGTGATTTAAAAACATCTGCGGGGCCTTTTTGAATTCCTCAGTGCTGCAGCAACAGGAGTGTTTTGTGTCAAAGCTTCCCAAGGGGAGGATTTGAGGGAATGATCCATTTCTCTCAGCCTTATCAGCTGCACTCACCCCCCTTATAACAATGCCACTGTGTGCAGCCCACGCAGCCTGGACACCCACCCCCCTCACCCACATGTGAGATGCTGTTGTGTTGTCTTGTTCTCCCACAGCTGGAGCATCTCCCTCTCCACCCCTCCACCCCTCTGCTTTTCCTCCATTCAACCCAAACAACGCCTCTGTTCTTCCAACCACACTATGCAGATTGTTTCAGAGGACAAGCAAGAAAGAGAAACAAATAGAGGCTGCAGTTGACAATGAAACAGCTGGCTATGTTAAAACAGTTCATTTTGGTATTCTGCATTTCTTATCCAATAGCTCTGTAATCGCATGTGTGTTGCATACTTGTACTACTTTTGCATGTCGTATGATAAACCCTGCTAAGTCACAACATGGAAACCCACTTTTACATATATTTTATTTGTTTTGTTTATTTTACAGGGACTATAGAGGTAAATATTGTTATATTTTGAGACAAAAAGCAGATCTCCAAACCTTAATTTAGGATTAAGTTTAGAGTTACTGTAGGTGTAATTTGAGTAAAGCCCAATCTAAAGCAAGGTCGTAAGCAACAAAAATAGTAAATACTGAAGTCCTCTTTTGAAAAATAGGCTAGGATATATCAAAAATGATGAAATTCGTAATGGAAATGATTAGCTTCCACCTAATTATTTCTGCATACATCTAGCACAGTGTACTGGTACATTCATTATGGTCAGTTACCATGAAATCTGTGTTGTCATCCAATATTTAAAGCTGCATTCACTTGAGGCAGGTGACAAAGCTGGAATAAATCAACATACTGTCACTGTAGTCAATAAGACTAAGATTTCAGTTCATAAGGGACCTTTCATATTACACATCTTTAATAAAAATAAAATACATTCATGAGTTAATCTTTGATTGTCTAGTATAAAACTAGGGCCTAGAGCTTTCCCTATCCTCATAAAGGTAGTCAATTTATTTTATTTAAGGATATAGATTTTTTTGTTTGTTTGTTTTATTTTGTTTTTGTTTGTTGGCTTGTTTTTGTTAGCTCTGCATCTTTAGCTAACCATACACCGGGCCCTGTCTATCTCATACTCGGATAAGAAGAGGGCCTATATAAAGAAAATTTGTGGGAGGAACTAATCCAAATGAAACTAAAGTAGCAAATGTCACATTTGCTACTTTAGTTACAATAACCCACCAACACAATGCTTACTTGGATTATTAAATAAAAACTAAACTGACAAATCTGGAAACACTCTCATCGGCATTTGAACAGTAGCTACACCTGTTTCAAACAGTCAGTGGTTTCAAACAATCAACTGCCAGCTAATCAAAAAAGATAACGATCAGCCCACCAAACGTAATGCAGTTTATGGTGTTGTAGACAGATTTCTGGGGACTAAAGGCTTGTAGTAAGACTCTATTTAATGTTATACACTTGTTGTTGTTTGTAGTTCTAGCCAGTAGATAGACATGTTCATCTTTGTGTTTATGATTAAGAGGAGCAAGCTGACAAAAACTCAAAATAGCCATGACCAAATCAGGTGGGTGAATGGTTGACATTAGATCGTTGGGAACCTGCAGCAAGTGAAATAGATTTGTCCATATGATCAGAAGAGTATCTAGTTATTCTGAAAAAAAAAGTAATCAAAACAATTGCAAGTGTTTTTAAGAGGACTTTCTGCATTTTACAGACACATTAAAGGAGAAATCGATGATTACCTCTATTAGGGGGACATGCTACCATGGTTGCTATATTGCCATTCGTTTATTTAACCTTGCAGCGATGTTAAGACAAGAATAATGAGCTCTAGTTTCTTTCTTTCTGTCTTTTCTGTCTTTTCTTTCTGATGAACATGCCTGAGAGAAACCTAAAATTACTGTACAGGCTTGTCAGAAAGGCAAAAAAAAGGTCTCCATTTGCGTCTGATGATGAATGATGATTAACTGTGCACTCAGCTGTCATTTTGTCACTTATTGTCAGAGAACCTTTCCAGAAACTGCTGAAAATGACAGCATTCTACTTTTCAAGATCACTCTTGACTCGATAATCTAGAAGAGTGAGTGCTGAACATGTTACACTCTGCCAGATGTTTTATCCCAAGTGTTTTGAGCTGTACCCAGAGACAGTAAATGTGTCTGGAGCTGTTAGGCTTGGGGCTGCCTTCTCCTGCTGATGCTCTGATCCACGATATTGCTCTGCTACTCCTCCACAATGCTCTGGAGTTACTCCATGCCACGGCCTTTACTGCTCCCTTCTCATCACCCTCTGGTGACAGAACACAGTCACATATTGATTAGTTATTAGTTATACCGCTTATCCTGCGGGTTCTCGGGGGTTCTGGCTGACATGACTGACTTAAAGCATGCTTTTGTTATACCTCAGCATACGTAGATCCCTGTGCCTCTGACATAGCACCTCATACAAATGACAGTGCCAGTTCCTGCATACAAGTCAGTTACACTTTATTGCATTTTTACACATTATTGCTTACCACAATTTCTCAGACCTTATCAGTTTAAGTTGATTAATGTATTTTAACTTTCAAGCAGCCTTTATTTACAGTTTATGTCAACACACATGAACTGCAAATTTGTAAAATAATGACACCACCTTTAACTATGATCTCATTAATAAACATATAACTGAATTTATTCATTAATGAAAATTTCACCAAAAACAGAAACATTATGAACTTCATAAACACAGATGTTAAGGCTGAAGTGTTGCACTGAAGTGAATATAATTGTATAGGTGTACTTAATAAAGTGGTTGATCAATGTACATCAATCAGTGCAGATGAAGGTATAAAAGAGACATCTGATATGATAATCCCTTTATTGGCAAGCTTTTTTGACATTGTTTCACAAAAACACTTTGTGTTTGTAAGGTACAGTTTAATATAATAACAGATTTTTGTGTGCTCGTGTTTTTTCACGAAGAAGCCTTCTCTTCGTCATCAAGTTGTATGTTACACCTGAAGTCCCAGTATCACTCTTGTTTGGTACAGTACAGCTGGGAACCTAAAAGTAACTCTGTCTTTAGGACTGTTTAAATATTTACAGTTTTAAGCCTGTTTATTTGGGCTGTTTTTTGTATAATACAGTTTGTATGATACTTAAGGAGTGGGTGTATCTGTAGGAAAAATGTTTCAGAGTTCATCTGTGCCACAAATATGACTGTGATGCAGAGGGAGTAAGAAAATTCAGGACTCTTTGCCATTAGCAGGAATTTTCATTTTTTCAAAATTGTTTCTTAGTTTCTTCTACATATTGTGTACCCATGATAAAGATAAACCCAAACTTGTAACTGTTTATATTGTTTATATTAAACATAGCACATTTATAAATGTCGTATAACTGTAGTTCACCTTTTGTCCAATAGATGGCAGAATTGTTTTGATAAAGATTGAATAGTGAAACACTGACTCATACTAAAGAATTTTTTTTCAGTGTAGAGATGTATAAAAAGATTTATAAAGTTTGTTGTTTGTAGAAATGTAGACTTATTAACTCAAACCAACTGGATTCAGGTCACACTTGCAAATCACTGTCCTGCACTAAAACAAATTCTTACTACTTGTCACTGACTCAACTGGCACCTATAACATGATCACATATAAAGAGTTAATGCTTAATGCTACTGTCCCCTTAAACGTTAGCTGTACATATAGGATTCCAGATCAGCACTGACCCTTGGTACTTTGTTTGATTAGATGATGTACTCAGAGCAGTTTTTCAGTGTTGCAACTATTTATCAATGCACTCCACATTCTTCTTATGATGTGCAGGCTGCACTGACAACTTCAGTTAATGGTTAAACCCAATGACAAGGTTTCCAAAGTAACCACTGTCAAAACAAATCACATTTCAGAGTGTCTGTGCTTGAATAACAGACAAGCATGTGTGCATTTCACTCACTGCAGGTCAACCACATGTATACAAGCATTTATGTATTCCCCTTATGATAATAATAAAAATATGGAACTATATTGTTGTTAAAGCATGGTTATTCTAGTGGTTGTTCATGATATACTCCAAAGAGCACAGGTGCACTGTCTTTCTTTGCAGGGGACAGCACACTGCAGCAGCCAGTGCCGGTGAAAACTGGGCAGCGTTCAGCACTGTTGCTGCTCTTTCATTCCCCATTTTGAATCTAACTAGTTTAGACCAGTCACTGCTTTGCTGCACACAGTTAAGCCTGTGGAAATAAAATGATTCCAGTACAGAAGAACTTGTGACTGCATTTGTAAATCATACAAAGCATTTTATTTCCATGCTGTAAATGTTAGGAATGTCACCTGGGAGACAGGGCATCACATTTGTGACACCTCTGGTTCCCCAAAAAGGTCCTAGGGTCACAAGATGACATGAATACACACTTCTACCACACAAACTCTTTTTGTTTGTTTGTTTTTAATTGTCCTCTATTTTTTGTTTGTTTGTTTGTTTTACTTAGAAATACTAAACACCTCTGCCTCTTCAGCCTATAAACATAGTTCAAATCAAACTGTAGGAAAAGTACAGTAAAACATACGCGTTGGAACTGGCCAGAAATCATATCCACGCTGTAGCTTCATTTTAATGGGTCATAAGCCAAAAGAGTTGGGAAACAGTGTCACACAATACCCCAGTATTTACAGTACCTTCAATGGTGATCTGAAATTAGAATAATTCACTGTCAGTGCTGTTTTGTAAACCAGGCTGTTTAACTCTGGGTCACTGCTCTCAGCCCAATGGGCTAGTGAAACAGGTAGCTGGACACACATGCATATAAACTCTCAGCAGAAATTCAGTGATAAAAGCTCTCACCGACCAGCCCGCTTCCGGTGAAGTGTCCGTGGAGCTCCTCCCCCCTCAGGTCGACTTACCTGCCGAGTCACCTGGCACTCACCTGCCCCCGCCTTACCTCCACACAGACTGTCTCAGAGAAACTGCAACAAGCATACTCACTCTGTCGGACAACAACACTCTTGGAACTCGGCTGGACATCAAACCAAGCGGTTATAAATATCGACAATTCCCGTGGTGTTTATTTTGTCGATCGGCTGCAGGTCGTGATGGCAGGCTGAAGCTTCAGGCGCGGTCTCTTCCACGTCTGTCACCTTGAGCATCTCGTTCGGAAAACACCACTGTGAGTTATCACAAGGGGCAAACCAAACTCTTTATTTAGTTTTTTTAAAGCCCTTTTTCCAGCACAATAGAATAAAGTGTCTATACAGCGAATACAACTTGATGACAGATCTCACAAGGGCCACTGGGTGCCAGAGCTTTCTGTCGTATCGTATGAGCTTCCTCACTAGCTGCTTGGAGTTGTTTAACGACTTGTTTTTGTTAGTCTAGAAGTTGACATCGATTGGGCACACTTATCTATTCATAGTAATAGTAATAATAATAGTAACAGTGATAGTAATAATCATCTTGGGGAGTTAAAAATGTGTCGCTACCATATATTTGCGTCTGACGTCACCCACCGCCTTAATTACAGCATTTAGCTCTGTGGTGAGAGGAAGGTGCTTTTATTTGGGTTAAGGAATACTCTCATGATATGTTATACATTAACAACAAAAGACGAAACGCGGATAGTTTGTAGTATTGTCCTTGTTCTTATTAGGGTTTTGTCCTGGCAAGAGATCATTGTTCTCAGTGGACTGGGAGGGTCAGATGAATGTTATGTGGACAAACAGGGATAGTGTCTGTGAAATCTGACCCGATTTTGTCTTGCCTGCTTCTTTGTGGACTGATGCAGAGAATAGAGTCTTCACACTCCGCTTTTATAGCTAGAATAAACCTGTAACCCTATCTTCGTCTGTCACAATATTGTGTAATGGCTGAATGGATTTTACATAAATACATAAAATCAGATAGCTGTTATCTCTTTCAAAATGCTTGTTTAGGACCATGGAGCGAAGTCCACATTGAACACATCAGAGGAAGCTCATATTTTTCTGAGGCATTACTTAAGCTATTGCTGTCAGTATTTTCTAGTTTTGCAGTGCGAAAATATCAAAGTGCATTGATATTGTAATAATAATAATGACATTGTCTTTTGTGCAGTGTCATATTGAAGTCTGGAGACACTTGAATTGCTCGGGTCTGGCATGATCAGGCTGAACTTATAACACTCATACAGGAGGCAGCTAATGAACAAATGCTAAGTTGATTTTACTATTTCAGTGGCGATTTATGTCATCAGCACATTCACTGTTCTCTTAAACCTTTTGTTTACGCTTCAGGAATGTTGTGTAGAGCATGTGTTGTGGGCCTCACAGCTAGTCACGTTGCTTTAAATATTTACTGTGTTAGAGCTGTTGTTGTGCTGATGTGGCTTTAGACGTGTTTCAGACTTATTGCTACTACAAATTCATTGTTTTGTAATTGTGTACACTTAAAATGCGGTCACAAGGCCAAATACTTTACATATACTATGAATTTATCTGTTTTACCGTATGTAAATACTTTTGATGTTGTCATGATCGTTTGTGTATTGAGGCACTTATGAACTAGTCATGCAAAACAGCACATAACATTCAAAAACTCAGACTGCAGTGTCTCCAGTCCAGTTGTTTAGGGCTGAAAAGCTGAAGGTGCTGTAATTGTTAATTATAATTTAGCATAAGAAAAAGGAAACAACACAGACCACATGACTGATACCATAAGCTTAAAATATGCACCTGTGTACTCAAGGACTGTACTGAGCCAAGAATGATGTGTCATCACAGAAAGCAGCATGAATATGACAACACTTGTCTAACCTCATTCCTTTAAATACAAAAAAATAAAAAAACAGATATCAGTAATTCAGAAAATGGATAAAATTAAATGTGAGACATACCAGGTTTTATGAGTGTGAGCTAAGCATCCTGCACACTCTCCTCCTTTTTTGTTTGTAATTATTGTTAGAATATTGTGTAATTACCTCTGAATAAGGGCCTGTCTTTACTGAACAATGAACTCCTCAGGCTGAGTGGATGAGAATTGTGCAAGAACCATTTGTCATGAGGTTGACAACACATTATATCAAGCCTGTCCTGCTCAGGCTTCACCTCCCTCCTGAAACCTGGTGGCGGGCCAGAGCTGGAAACAATAGCGTGGAGAAAAGATGACCAAAGAGATGAGGGCAGAAAGAGGAAGTCCATCTTGTGTGCAGACTTGATTTTGTAAAATGAATAAGTCTAGTTGTTCTTTGCTCATTTGTTCTTCTCAGTAAAATGTGGTTGCGGAAGTCTTCAGAAAGGAGGCATTGAACCATATGTGGCTCTTTCTGGATAAAATCATACATGAACTTTGGCCCAGATTGTGAAGACTGTTCTTGCGATTTGCCCTTTATACATTTCAGAAGATCTGAAGAGATAACTTGTTCAGGGCTTTTATCTTTATGCTCTGCTGCCAGATAAGCTTACGTGACCACACCTGTAACTGTCATCCACAGTATTTAGCTTGCACGTGTGTGGTGTGCCACTGCTTCCTAAGCAACAGTTTTAAACTTCAGAAAGGAGATAAGGCATATCACTTTGTCACAGCTTGGATAGAAAGATATGCCAACGTGTCAATAATTATTGTAGGAAGCACATCCATTACCACAAAATAACTGAAGGTCAGTATCTCACAAATTGTTATGTAACACTTGAAATGTCTGACACAGGATCCTAACCTCTCGCCGCCAGTTAATAATACAGACCGAACGGGTTGCTTAAAGATATACGTAAGGTTAAAGGTGATCAGTGTGTCCAGTGTTAAATACAATTCACTGTAGCCAATAACTTATCAGTGGTTACTGTATATGTAAGGCAGATACAGGCAGAGCCCACTGTGTTGTATAACATCTCATTAAGGCCCACAGCTACTGATACCTCAGATTTAGATGCAGTTCTTTATTATATTTGTCTCCTTTGAGGCCATGTTAATTATCAAATAGTTTGTCTGGGTATGAAGCCCAACCAAATTAATTACAGCTATGCAGATATAGTCATCAACAGAGTGGCTCTAATTACACAGTGCATATTAGCCTGCTGTCTGCCATTGTCCCAGATCACTCCCCTGACTAGCAGAGGTGCAGGCCCAACACCTGGCTCTTCACCGTAGGAGAACAGGCTGTTTAGTAGACCACACCTCAGCTCTGCTTAGGTTTATACACCATGGGCTGTGTATAAGAGGTCATAACAGTGGAATAAGACAGAAAAAGTTACCCGAAGTTGCAAACATTTAGAGGTGTTTTTTTTTCTAGATAAACACTGCATGTTTGTTTTGGTGGGGAAAATTCCCTTCCTCCATGAGGCCCTTCCCTCAGTGCGTCTCATTATCACCCACTCCTTTTTTTTGTGATCTTCATCTCTGTTTTTTTCTCTTCAGGTGGATGTCTTAAATCATGAATGTCCAGGGATCTTCGTCAAGGCAATCCAAGTGAGTGTCGCACACACACGACCAACTTCCCCTCATATATTTATCTTTTTGTGTGTTGGCTGATCACATTATCCTGAGTTACTGTCAAACAGGCATGAGAAAATCACTAAGCCTGGATGTGGAAGGTGGTGTGGGCCAGGGACCTCAACAGAGCGGCTCTGTTGAGGATTGTTTGCTTTGCTTGGATTCCTGGCTCCAGCCTCGGCACTAGCCTCCAGCCAGGCCCCACACCCCTTCCACCCCTCCACTTTTCTTCCTTTTCCACCCTCTCTCTCCCTGCTTGGTCCATATGCTCAGAATCCAGCCAGTGTCACTCCTGTTTTCTGAGCTTGTGTTCATTACAAGTGACAGTGTGGGAGTTTCATAGGGTTTGTGACAGTAACATTCAGAAGGGGAGAAGATGAAGGGCGCACAACGTAACCCCGTCTCTTCTTATCATTGCAGTGGAGAGGCCAGATCAGACAGCAAGATGAGCGCCAAGGCCCTGTACGGTAAGTGACTACATGGAAGCGTGTAGAGGTGTCGCACTGGTTTTGCCAGTAGGAGTTTATTTTTGGTTTGTTTTCAAGATTGTGCCTTTATAATTCCTTACACTTGCCTGTGTTTCTGTGGCATGAGTCACTATAGACAGTTTAGAGTTTACAGCATATAATTTTGAACTCTTAATTGTTAAGGGATAGTTTTATTAAAACTTGCATACTGTTTATGTAAGTATGCGGCTCATTCAGTTGTTGTCCAGAAAGCAGTAAAACACCTAAATGACCCACACTGTGCACTGGTTGTAGTTGTAGTTGCAGTCCCACATACGTCATCCTGGAGCCAAAAATACTCACTGGCACATTAATGTATGCTAATCCACGGCTGAAAATAGAAAATAGTGCCCAACAAATGCACTACTTACTCATGTTTGAGTAATATTAGTTAAAAACTACAATACCAGCTTTCTTTATAATCTTTATTTTAACTTTTCGTCCTTTTTTTTTTTTTTTTTTTTTCTTTACAAATTAACCTATACAACCTATATGATCGGTCAGAACATTGTGTACATGAGTCAGTGTGGCAGTTGGTTGGCACTCTGAGGTTCACAGCGCATCTTGTGTGAATCTGTTTGCGTCCATCATTATACTGCCTGAAAAAGCACGAATTTGTCCATCATTTAGTGATAAAATTATGTGAGAGGAGTGAAAACTGTGGTCATGAGGACAAGGTAGAGATATTTTAGACAAATTGAACATCCTCCTCACTCTAGGTGTGATATCACTGTATTTGTGATCAATTTTAAAGACTTAGTTCTTCAGAAGCAACAAATCATAAATGGAATATGTAACCTCCGTCTCCTTTGCTGCCTTTTCTAAACTGTCCGTAGTCAGGCTGGGAGGATCAGCACTGTAACTGACTCAAATCACAACACTATTCACTTTGCGATGCAAATGACTTTGTCAGGGAATCCTGCACCATCAGTGTGCAGCCGGTTGCTGCTGCCTCACGGCCTCCTTGGATTATCACAGTCCCTTCCCTGGAGCACACAGTGATAAGGTCTTGCTGAGGGGCCCTGTCACGTTCAGACACTGGGACATGGGAGGGAGGCTGAGCTCCTAAAGGGAGCATGAATTTCCATCTATGTGCCAGGCATGCTGGGATTTCTGGTCAGATGTATCAGGCCTTTTGAGTGTGTCTGCACTTTGTAGTGACATTTTCATGTGTGCAGATGTACATTTATGTTGTCTGACTTGTAGAACTTTTGCATACTTTGAAGAAAGTATTTGTGTTATTGTAGTCCTGTATTATCTCAAATATAGGCTGCATCGCTGTGTGCTGTCACACTCAATAATATGTATACATAGTTGTACCTTTGTCATTTTATTTTAGCTGTTGCATACTTGTGCTAGGGTGTGTTTAAGTGACTAAAATGTACTTAGTTCCATTTGCAGAGAGTGCAGGGTGTGCCTGTTTTTAATGTGTGGTTGGAACAAGGGCGGGGATGCCCATGTCTTACAGGTGAATAAAAGGCACATTGAAAAGTGGAAATGAAGAGACAGACTCTGCCTCTTGCTCACCTCTAATCCTCCCCTTGCTGCTTCATACATTAGCTCACTGTTCCCCGCTAGCACCTCCTTCCACACTGTCAACACAGACAAACATTGTATAGAATCACACAGGCTCAGCTGGAAACTCAAACCATGGTATTACAGGAAAACCTGCTTTCATGCATGGCCGCACTGTTCCGAATTTAAAAATCGCCTCAAATGACAGATGATGGTGTTGTAGGGATACGAGATGTTCCCAAACCATCTGACAGTGCACCATGTCATCTATGGATTTGTTTTTTTGTGCCACAAGTCATTCAAATATCCACAGGATGCTCCCACTCTTGTGATCTCTGTGAAATATCCCACTGTATGTGCAATGGAACTGCACTGTTTTTCTTTGGCTTATCTCATATTGGGTGGCAGATGGTCGCCACTACCTTCTTACTGCAGGATGCCAGCAGCATTTCTGTCCTCCCGAACCAGAGACGCAGAAGACTGGACAGTATTGTGCACCATCCATAACAGTGGTAGACATTTGGGTAGATACAGGTCTGTGGCTTTCTCCTTACTGAATAAACATATAGAGGAACCATGGCAGTGCCATCTCCTCTATGCAAAACTCCTTGTCATTTGCACACTGCAGGGCAGAAAACAAGTGATGCAAATGATGCACAGACCCTCCCACCTGATCTGTTATCAGCAGCTTTAGAGCAATGACACACAGACGGTGACTCCATCAAACAACTTCTGTGAGTTTCTCAAAAGCTTTGAGGAGCATGTCTTTGCCAGGTAATATACTGTACGTTCGACCTGAGAGATTAGGTTTTAGTGCTATGTAAATCCTTTCATTCTGAACTTATTTGCAGTTTCCTCTAGCTGTTTATCTTTGCTGTGGACTTTGTTAGCACAGGGATATTAGAGGCTATATTTTAAAAAAGTTGGTGTGTTTCACTTTTTACTGTTCTTGATAAATACGTGTACCGTGTAAACCTGTATTCATTTTTTCTACACTTGTTTGAGAGCACAATACTGTGGTTGATTTAGGCTGTGAAGTGTTGTTGTGATAGTTTCTGGTGACATGCAGCCAAATCTTTGTGGACACAGCGGTGCACTAATGCACCAAAGGGTGCCCTGCAGTTAGAGCAACATAAGAAAGAAAAGGTCTTGAGCTTGTGCCAAAACAGTCATTTACTGCTTGGGTTATCTGGGTGGTTGGACTCATTCAGTCTTTTCATGATGCAATATAGGATTTTATTTTCTTTATTAACTATTTAACTAATTCCTGACAGTTATATTATCTCATAGCATTGCATCTAGCAATGTTGCTGCCTGAGTTGAGTTAGTTTTCATTGTGTTGAACAAGCAGTTACGAGACTGTCGTATTAGAGAGGTCAGCTAGTTTGATCGATCTGGGCCTTGTGTTGGTTTGATAATCTGGCGGGCAGCCCTGTTTATCACTGGTTTATCACTCTGAAGAGATCTGAGGATCTGCCCATCTGCCTGCTAAATGGCTCTTATTGCAAGTTGTTGCAGCTCTGTAAATTGATTGGCAAAAATGTCGGTCATTAAAAAGACATGGGGTAGGCTCAACTTTCGGAATGTCACCTGATACTTTTGTTTCACCTGTGGGGAGCCAAGCAGGAAGGAATCAGCAGAGAGGAAATGGCAGGAACAGGAAAGATAAACGCTTGTGCCATTTGGACAATGGCTGCAGTTGAATGGATTCAATAACCAGTAAGAGGATATCAAATATTGGAATGTACTGTAGAGCTTGACAGGCAGCTGGGCTGTTGTATTGCCATAAAGCACATAAAACAAGATGTATCTCGGTGTCTGTCTGAGCCAAAGTCTGTGTGGCATCAAAATGTTGACTTTATTGGGCGCGGGGCAGAAGAGCTAGACCTGACACAAGATCTGGCAATGGAGTTGATAGGGACATGCTATCATTTAATTGTAATTGTTACCTGCAGACTATTCATCTGGAAAACAGGTCAATGAGTGCACTTAACATTGGTTAGTTTAAAAAATAATGGCCTCAGCTGTGCTGAACAATGCTGTTGTGAGCTTTGGGGTTTGGATGTGGAGACTAAAAATTCAGCTTTTACATGGGCCACTGCTTTTTGAACCTTATGGGTCTACATCAGATTTTTGCTAGCTTGTACAGGTTTTTAAAATAAATCACACTTTGTGGTCTACAGAGAATGAATCCGAATGACTTTAGTGGTTCTGTCTTAAGCCCACATGCAGGCCAAAGTTTTCACAACTCGTCTTTATTTGTTATCAAATACCTGAAAAATAATGACTCTCACTGGCTTCAACTGTACTTTGTGTTTAGAGTTAATTAGCAAAATGCATCTTGGTAAACACTTTATCAGCTAAATATAGAAGTTAGTATTTGGTGCAAAGTGTAGCTGTGACTCAGGACTATGTTTTGTTATAAGTGCTGTAAAAAAGTGATTAGGAACACTGACAAACATGATTCTCAACTTTCTGTTTCCAGTAATCTCACGTGGCTCATTCCCATACAGGTTCAAGGTCTAGTAACTGTGTTTCAAGCTGACTACAGTAAATCACAATACGGCGCCACAGATGACAATGTGAGCAAGGTGCTGCTGAGAAGTCATGTTAGTAATAATTGACCCTGCAGTAAATCTGAGCCTCTGATTGGTCCACTGGGTGGAGCTTTAATGCCAGTCTGACCAACATGCTGTAATGTGGGGCGGAGCAAATTGAGTCACGCAGACGTTTTGATACGAGTCTTAATAATTAACTTGTCAGATGGGTCTGTTTACATTTTACTTGCCCTTCTGCATGTCAATTTTAGACATAAAATGTTTTATGTATAATGTTTTTTTGTCTGTACAGTCTGGCCTCTATTTGCAAATAACATATATTGTAAAATACATCAAATGATCACTTTAAACTTAAGGAAAAATTTGGGCAAATTCCATATTTTGTTGTTTTGTTTTTTTTTAGATGAAAAGAAGTAAATACAGCCCCACCCTTTAGCTGATATTACAGCTTGCAAACCCTTTTTGTAACCAGCTAAGAGTCTAAGTACCAGTAGGGACCCAATTTTTGTACATGATACAACTACCGTGTCATTTTTTTCATATTTAATTCAACTAATGAATTTAAAAAATGCCAGGGGCAGCGTGGAATGCTGCCGATAATGTCAAGGGTGAACACAATTATAAGGCCAGACAAGTAATCGGTGGTCACAAGGCAATCCGGGGTCAGAGCTGGAATCACAGGCACAAGAACAAAAAAAAAAAAATGCTGGAAAGTTTTTTCTTGGTGCGAGGAAGCTGCACATAAAAGTTGACAGGTGTAAATAATTACCACTGATTAGAGTAAAGAGTTCATAGCTGCAATGATATCATAACAGGAGGTGGTGTCAGAATAAAAGCATGTTACAGGAAGCAGAAGAGACAGAATCATGACAAAAGCTTGGAGAAAGGATCGCTTTTAATGTCTGTTTACTTTCACTTCAAAATATTAGTCAGCTCTGTAAAGTTTCGCTTCATCTCTTCACGCTGCCGAAACATTCAACATGTGGACTTTAGGTCGGTGTCACTGCTGCTGTCTGCGTAGAAGGATAAGCACAAAATTCACATGCATTCACATGTTTCTAACTTTTAATACCTTTGTTTTCTTATCAACAGAACAGAGGAAGAAGTACTCCAAGTCCAATTATATCATGCAAGAGACGTCACAGTATCATGTTGAGGTAAGATCTTTATTTTTGTTTCTCTGAAGCTGTGTTTTATAATTTTTATAGTTTCTGCATCTTAAAACTTTTAGAAATAAAGCAAATATATGGAAAAAGAGACAAACTGACATAAGGTTCCAAACTTCCCCACTCTGTTATGACTGACACTGAAAGATAAATGAATAAATGTGAAAGGAACCTTCCCTTTATTTACCTTTACTTATTATTTCTTTAACATTTTATTACTCATTAAATTGAAATAAGTTAATGCCTAATAGTGTTTATTTTATAACTACCCTCAATATGAGTGAACCCAGACATTTGCAGTATCATAATTTGTTTTTTATTAATTATTTATAGTATTATTATTATTTTGCTGCTAATGCTTGTGGATGTGTTCACCCGCCTGGTGACTAGAGAGACAAATAAAGGCATCAGACCTTCCTTAAAATGAACTCAATAAAAATGATTGTGTATGTTAAATGTGTATAAAACTGAACAGCTATGCTGGAAATTACTGTAAACTGTCCAAACATGACAAAAAGGCTTTAAAAAAAGGAAAGGAATACATATACTTAAGGTCTATAAATGAATAGGATTATAATATAAAGAAGGCCAGTGAAGCGTATGTGAACAACAAGACAAAAGCAAAGCTCTTAATGTAACTGATGTGGTGTACATTCTTCCCAGAGATAAAAGCCGACTCGCAAGATAATCTCTTGATTATATCTGATTTACTAGAACTCTTTCATAATAAAGCAATTTGATTGTAACAGTAGGGAGCTGATGTCAGGAAAACTGAATCAGAGACATGCTTCAGGTCAGGGAA